TTGCATGAAATAAACTCACTGACAAAGTACATATAAAACTGGAGTGTCCTAGGCCTGAAATGAACTTTAAAAAACATTTTGTTTGGCTGACAATGAATTGCTCTTCTAACCAAATATTAAGGAAAGATGGATTTATGCAACATTAATTGCAGCTCACCAAAATACACAATAGGACAAGTAATTCACAAAGGAATTTCAGATGGAGTAGCATTAACAAATTATGTCTGCTAAACTATTCTTAACTAATTGAAGTTACTTGGGGAAAAATGCATGCAGGCATTACTCACATATTGAACTAAAGTGTGCAGTCAGATCTCTGACTGCAAAAAAGTGCTTTCTTGTAATCTTGTGCTAAAATATCAGCCCAGCTTGACACAAATATCACTAGCCAGCAGATGAAGAGTCTTGCACTCTAACCTTTATTCCACTGATAAGATCACCTGTGCCTGAGAACATGTCAGTCATTATCTCTGTGTCCCAGAAGACTCATCCGTAAAATGAGATTGGATAAGATCCTCTCAGGGTCCCTTTCATCTCCAGCTTTTCACGACTTAAATATATCTGAGCTCTCCCATCAGTGCCAGGAAGGTCTGTGTTCTACTGGTCTGTGACTTGCTCACTTTACACAGAGAGTAAAGCTGAATTCTTTTCAATATAACTAAAAATATTTAAGACCTTTACTTTCCCTTCTTTCACTATGTGTATGTGAAACATCATGATGTACACCTTAAATATAAACAATGAACAATAAATGATAAAAATAATAAATTGAAGGCATTTAACAATTTAAAAAGGAATCCACTGTAGGTAGTTCGATCTTTATACTCACCTATATATTTAAAAGCTAAATATTGAGTATGTCAAAGACATAAATCAAAAGGTCCATGCCTGAAAAATATCTTACAAGAACATCGTTTGTTAACTATTAAAAGGGATTTTTGTATGGAGAAAATGTGTTTAGTGTTACCTATGCCTAAATTTTCTTAGATGTTTCTGTGTCAAACTACTGTTAAGTAAAATTGTAGAAAAGGTAGCTAGAGAAGAGGAGGGATAACTGCTTTCTCTCCCTCCCTGTGGGGGGGACTCCTGCTTATCTCCATGTTCCTGAAGGAGGGTTCTGGGATCCCTGGCAGGCACTAGGTAGGTCCGGCACAGCGAGCTGGATGACTTAGTTCCACCATGGGAGACACAACCGGGCTGTCCTCTGATGCCCACTGCAGGGGCAGTCAGAAGGCCTTAGGCTCTCTCTTGGCTCTTTGTCCCCAAGCAGGACTCACACTCACTCTTTAGAGAGGGGAAGACCTGATTTGAGTAGAAAGCTCTAAACTTTGGGAATTACATTGTATCATCTAGTAAAGTTGAGTTCTGCATGTGTTATCTCTGTCTTTCTCCACTGGTTACAACTCCAGGGAAAGATGGGTAAAGGATTTATCCCTTAATATCCAGTGATATTAAAATTTTTAATATGATGAGATCTTTGAGGTTTGAAAATAATAAGCAATGATAACTTATGTAATAACTATAGGAACTATATTAAGAGAGGGTAATGGATAAAAATATACAGTTTGATAGAAGAAATACAACCTAGTGTTTGATAGATCAGAAGAGTAACTGTAATTTACAATCATATATTATATATTTCAAAATAGCTAGAAGAGAATAATTCAAATGATTCTAGAATAAAGACAAATATTTAAACTGATAGATTTCCAACTAGACTGATTTGATCTTCATAAATCATATGAATACACTAAATATCACATGTACCCCCCCAAGTATACCCCCCCAGATATAATATATCTATTATATATCCATAAGAAATAATTTAAAAGTTATAGGATATCAACCAAAAAAGTAGAGAATCTGTAAGGACCTGTGACCTTATTCTTTTCCATCCAGAAATTCTAAGTTGTAATGAATATTAACAGTGTAATCATTGAAAAACTTTAACAACTTACAAAAGTTCAGGGAATGAAGTTGTAAATTGTATTAGATTTGATTTATAAATTTCTGAATGCTTGATGGGCAATATTTCAGTGGATTTCTCTGAACATCTCAGAAAATACCTATGTGATATTTATTTTAAATAATTTTACTGTCATACCCTATAGGGGTATCAATGGAAGAAAGAAGGCTTGAGTGTGCACTTATTTCTATGGGATGTGCAGTAAATATGCAATATATTGTTATCTTTTGTTGGAAAAACTAAACACTAGAAACTTATTTAGCTTTTATTCAAGCACATTCAACATTCCGTCTCTCTGCTTCTCATCCCTCTAAATGGAAAAGGTATTTTCACAGAGAATTTGCTTGTAAACACTTAAAATCCTTCCACTTAAGGATGAGGCAAAAACTAAGAATATTATGGGAAAATATGCAAAAAGATTTACAGAGCCCAGTAGAAGTTGGATATTATGATTGAATTAGGTACTTTACAAGATGAAAATGGATCACGATGGTGTCAGAACATGCATATACTCATAGATCTTCCCTTTGCTTCATACGGTTTTCTTCCATTTATTGTTACTAAGAGCTGTTTAGTTGGTCAGTTCATAAATCAATTGATTTGGTGTTGGACTGAAATATTCACTGTAAGGCAAACTTATCTTTAAATAAAGTTAAAGATAACTTGAGCTAGTCAGAGTACCTTGACTGTAAAACAAATGAAACCACATACCCAGACTGAGACATGAGAGATACCCCAATTCAAACTAATGTTACTTAAATATCTAAAAGAATTGTGATGCCAAGAGATTAAGTCATAGAAAGAAGATGAAAAGAATGCAGGATTCTTATCAGGTTTGGAGATCTTCTTTTCTTTTTTTTTTTTTTTTTGCCTGGGGCCGGG